ATTCAGAAGGAATTTAGGTTCCTGCCTTTAGCCTTTAGATGGGCCTTCTCCAGGCTTAGTAATTTCTTAGTCCAAAGACCCACCACTGGTGGCACCTTCTCAGTCACTTATGCTCTGCCGTGTGCCCTCGCAGAGTCACCAGAACCAAGTTACAGGGACATGTTAACCTACAGCAGAATACATCCAGTGAGTGTTTATCAAGGGTTTTCCAGGAGGAATTTGGAGCTGGAGGACTCCTTGGAACAATTCTAGGAAATGTTTCTGCTAAATAAACATGTTGATTTTTTTCAATGCAGTCAATTTGTTGGTGCCATCTGTTGGGTCTTGTTACATTGAAGAGATCAGTTGCTGACTTATGGGAACACTTACTGACATAATTATACTTCTATAGCTATTACTGATTAGACTGATCATGTGCCCACATTCTGAAAAGTGTGTTTTCTCCTCGTTTTAACTTACGCTGCTGTAGAAACAACTGAACTGAAATGGAATAGGTGGTTGGGTTATGGAATTATAGCCATGCAAGATATTTTAATTATAGTTTAATTACAGTTATAATTAGACCTAAGCAAATGTGAGGGATGAAGTAATAGACGTTAGCCCATGACAAGGTCTTTGGGGTCCTCCTTTGCTCTCTGCACAGAAGAAAAATGTTCCCTGTTTCATGGCTTCTTTCCATTGAAAACGGATTGTTTACTCTTACCTTTTTTCCTCTTACTTTCCCACAAGCTGAAGCAGCTAAGAGCAGGTTGGCTGTCCTTTCTGTGCCCCCATCTTCCTCCTGCCCATCTGCCTGGGCACTCAGCAGTTTATTGCCCCTCCTGTTGGCACAGCAGGATTGATTCAAGGAAGTCTGTATGAATATTAGCCACACTTGGCTGATAAACAGGATGCCTATATAAATTTTAATTCCTGCAAGTCAGTGTTCTCTCCTGTATCAAGACCTGTGTCTTGTTTAGGAGACTCTCACCCTTGGCATCATCTAGCTCTGGTGGCTACCAGATTTTAAAACCTGGTCTCAGTGCAGAATAGGAACTTACAATTTTGGGGTGCAGTAAAAACAACTTGCTGTTTTCAGCTGAAATGTGGTTTGTCCCTCTTGACTTCCCATGCAATACAGGGGAACATGTTGATACTGCTGATAACTGCTGGTGTCCATTGGGCCTTCCAGAGATTCAGAACTTCTCCTTCAGTTCCCTCTTTTGCTCTCATTTTGTTCTGAAGTTTCCACTACTTCTCACAAGGCTCTTGCCTGGCATGCACACATACTCAGCACAGCTTTAAAATTAAAATAAATAAATGTGCAGAGAAGCATTCAGCTGACGTTCACAAGAAATTCAGGAAATAAAATGGACAAGCCTTCTGGCTCCCAAGAGCAAGACCTCTGTGGTGACTTGCAGGCATTGGTTTGAACACCTTACCTTCTCTCTACCAACTGCTGGTTTTAGCAGCTTAACATTTCTTCCAAATAACAATTTTTTCCTCAAATTACTAGTGCAAGTTTTATTTGGATCTGAGAAAGAAAGAAAATTGAATGTTTAGAAATGGAGGGAACATTTTGTTAATTGGTAGCAGCATGTATGCTCCAGACTTGGCACCCATCCTACTGCCTGTAAGCTTCATTAACTTCTGATAAAAGAATAGTTAATTTTTCAGACTCCTTTTTTTAATAGTACTTCATTATTTAAGAAACTAGATCATAGTTTTCTTCCACTTGTTGATGAATTGGTGCTTTATTTAATGATGTTCAGTCTCACCCCTCTCTTATGTGGTGATTTTGGGTTTGGATTTTTTAGTGTTCCATGAGACTACCTGAAAATGGTTCTTTTTGCATAAGTAATATTAGAGTTGTAGTAATTACAAGATCTAGTGGTGCTGTAAATGTTAGTGCTACCATGGGAGCAGGAAGCCTGTTTGGTACCTCCTGGATGCTTTCTTCCAGGGTGAGATGGTTTGGTGGTGGCAGCAGTGAATTCCTACTGGCAGGAACTGCAACCAAAAGCTCAAAATGTGTGTTTGTGTAACCTGCATGGCCAGCTTGGAGAATGGAGCAGAACCCAGGAGGAGCAGAGTGAGTAGTTGCAGGGGCTCTTTCCTAGTCTGGATGCTTAGCCAGAGCAGACTTTCCCAAAGGAAGGAAAATGTGCACTTAAGGAGCAGAATCCATTGTGGCTGCTTCCCTGCAACTGAGCTTTAGGGGAGGTCAGTCCGGCTGATGCGCCCAGAGGACTTCAGGCAGGCTTTTTTCTGTCAAAATCCTGAATCCTCTTTCAAGGGAGGGAGAATATTAGTCACCTGAGGAATGCAGGAATGGTATGTTGGGGAAAGGAAAAAAAGCAGTCCTCTGAAACAAACCAGATAGAGTCCCAGGTGAACTGCAAGCCCCCCACCCCTGAAATTCCCCCCTCTTCCCCTCCGCAGGGAGCACGGAGGGGATTTCCTACTTCCACCCTCGCACGGTCCTGTGGAAGCTCTGAATTTCCTGAAACTGGAGCACAAGGTGGTTTCCCCTGGCTTTTTCGGGAGACTTTTACCTTTTATATTGCATCAGCTGCTGGAGGCAGTTGAATGGAATGAAAACATGTTGAAGAAACCTCTTCAGAAATGCCAGGTCTCTCCTCCTCATAGCTTTAGGGGATGGGTTTAGTTTTGCTCAAGGGCCACCCATTTGGCTGAACTCCCAATAAGACCCTTCACATGAAGACATCTGGCTGCTTTTTGTGTTCCTTTGCTCCTGGTGCAGGTATTGTGTGTCTTCTGGGTGTGGAGTTTCAGGGCCCTGCACGCAAAGCTCAGCGTAGCAAGGTGACAAGCATGGGGCAGGTGAGATGGCAGCCTGGTTCTCCACACCCCATGTTATCAGAGGGAGTATTTCAGGCCACCTGTTTTGTCTGGCCCTACTGATGAAGCTATATTCAATCAAATGCTCTGCACACCTTGAACTTGGCCAAGAGTGTTAAGTCATATAGTTAAGCTGGCAAATGAGATTTCCTTAGACCAAATACAGAGCAGGGAGGTAAGCAGGGAGTTTAGGAATACTCCACATCTGTGGATTTTCATTTATGTATTTGTGCCTGAAAATTACTCATGTGTCTTGGTAGACATCTTGGCTTCACTCTTTGAGAAAGCTTCTCTTAGCTTTTTATATCTATATATTGGTTTAAACTTTACAAAAGCTTTTTCTAGCAGGGAAGGTCCTTGGGTAAAGCATTCAGTGAGTGCTCTCCAGGCCCACTCTGGCTCTGAACTTTTCCAGTCCACCCCTGAACCTCGTCTTTGAAACTACATGGCGTGGACCTACCAGAACCACAGCTAATGAAACGTGTGCTTCTGGCCTGCCTGCTCCTCAGCAGAGGATGAGCTACAGCCCAGAAGGCTGCCAATTCAGGACAGGGCAGGGGTGGCTCATCACCCTGTTAATCACTGCCCGTTAGAGCTTGGCAGCCCCGCGGCACAGGGTCTGACTCTGCCGTTTCACCTCGTGTCTCGGCTCTAACCCTGCTCCTGCCAGCAGCTTCCAGAGCTGCATGCCAGACCTGGCTGCCTGTCAGCTTCTGTTCTTGCCTTGGGAAGTGTGCTCGGTGACTTGGAAGTCTGGAATCGTTCCTGTGCTCTGAATTGAAGGTTTCAAATGAAAGAAACAGCTTATTGTGCTTGGTGCCTTCTCTGGATTCTGCTGTGTTCTGCTTCCATGCAGCGCAGTTTCTCCCCTGCCATGGATTTTATCATAAAATATGAAGCTTTATTTTCATGTGCTTCAGATTGTTCCCTTAAAGATCCTAAAGATTCTTTTGTTTCCTTGTTTTTCTCCGAAACTGCACCATGCCTGTTAAGAGTGTTGTTTAGCACTGCACTTGGGATTTGGCACCAGGGAGGTACAAGTGTTGGGGCTGGGGTGCCAGGGGTGGTTTGCCCACAGACACGGAGCACTTGTCCCTTGCAAACGCCAGAGTCTGTCAGTAGGGAAACAGTTCTGGGCTTTGGGCTCCTGAGTCAGATCTCCTGGTTGTGCATCCTCAGTGCTTTGTGCCGCAGTGCTGCTTTGCATGCCCTTCCCCATGGCTTTGCATGATTCTGCAGTTCTGCAGTCTTCCTTGACACGAGTTTTGTAAATTATGCTTTAGCAGAGCAACCGGGATTTGTAGAAGTGGTTCTTTTCCCAGGGGAAGTGCCATCTCTAAGGGAGGAAACCTGCTGGTGGATGGTAATTCAGCCCACAAATCCTCAGCTAGGCTGGCATACTATAGCTGCTTGCTCACACTGTTTCCTGGTGGGAAGGACAGTCCTTACAAACTCCAGGCTGGAATCTGATTCAGAAGCAGCTGTGCAGATGTTCCTTTGCCAGTAAGAGCAGCCTTTTCTCAGACATTTGCCCAGCATGGTGTCACACTGGTGGTTGCATTCTCTCCCCTGTTAAACCTGGCCTTCTGAAAAAGATTCCTCTCCTTGTTATCCGTGTGTGGACTTCTTAGCATAGAGGTGTGTTAAAAAGTGGAGTCTGAGGGCTTGACTGTCTGCGCCCAAAAGAGCTGGGAGCCACCAGTGCCCAGGCAGGATGCTCAGGAATGAGGAGGGAAGAGAAGCAAGGAGCTTCTTGAGGCTGGGAGTTCCTGGAGAGCGGCTGACTGTAAACACTTTGACATGTTTAAACTATTTAGTGTTAATGTTATAGAGCACTTCTGTTTTACAATAAATAACTACCTTGATTGTTAGAATCTTCTTGCCTTCTGCAGCACTTTTAATGAGAAACCCTCTGTAGGTAAAATGCATGGTGAGTTAAGAAACAAAGCTTCTCCCTACTCACTTTATGGTAAGCTGGTTGGGTTCTGAGAGGCTGTTCACAGATTCCAGACCCTCTGAGGCAGGAACAACCTATTCTGGTTTTGTACAGTATTCAGCACAGCAGGTGGATACGTGCAATTTGTTCTTTTAGAAGTGCTTTTCCTAATATGTGGTTGGGTCAATAACCTCTCTTTTGTTTCACCTTCTGCTAGGTGGCTATAAAGATAATTGATAAGACACAGCTGGATGATGAGAACCTGAAGAAGATATTTAGAGAAGTTCAGATCATGAAGATGCTTTGCCACCCACACATCATCAGGTTATACCAGGTAGGAGCATTCTGCTCTACAGCCTTACACTGCACAGTAGTGCTTTCTCCAAGGCTATCTCTGTTTCTCCTAGGTGAAATACTGGGAAAGTCCTTTATGTTTTCAAGGTCCCAAAGTACTTTGATTAGAGGGAGGGAAAGTGTGGCTAATCCTTCTCTTTTCTGGGAGATCATGCTTTCTCTTCGGGCTGGGCTCTTGCCCTTTGTTTATGGCTATTGTCTGCTTTGCAGCTGGAGCCGGATGCGGCTTCCCCTTCACAGTGTGGAGGGAGTCAGTTTTACCCACAGGCAGGACAGGAAACCTGCAGCTCCCCTGCTCTCCTCCACCTGCCCTGTCACCTCGTGGCCCCCAGGACTTGCTTCTCTGCTCTGGGCTTTCCTGGAAAGTGATCAATAGCAGCCACAGACTGGCTTTTTGAATATTGTTTGCAGAGCTTTTCTGTGGCTTGTTTGGCATTTTCAGTCTGTAAACAAACCCACCAGAGACGGGCTCTACATCTGCTGCTTTGCACATGCATCCTTGGTGGTGTCCCTCTGACTTCATGGTCAGTGTTGCACCAGGCCAGAGACAGGCAGAGGGTGACCACAGTGGAGGAGGACAGGAGAGCAGCACTTCTAAAATGTTCAGTGCTGCTTTGGAAGCTGTTGGACAGATGAAAGACTCTCCTTGGGCCTCTCTGATGCCAGGGCTCAAGCAGTGACTTAGAACCACAATGGAGAAGAAAGCTTTGTGCAAACTGGTACCTGCAATCTCAGTTCTGGGACAGAGGCTCCTTCCCAGGATCCTGCAAGGTTCACACAGAACTACCTGCTCCTTGTGTTCTGGGGAAGGATTCAGGCGCACAAGACTAACTGAGATGGGGAATCTCCTGCTTGTTGCTGCCTGGTGTCAGAATGCTAAAACCTGACATCCTGGGTGGAATATGCTGGGGTTATTTCCTCTTGTAATGTTTCTGGGTGCATTTAAGGGAGAGCTGATGGTAACCCTTGTTAGAAGTTGCCATTCCATAGAATCAGCTCTTGTGTGTGCCTGATGGATCAGAGTAATCAGTTGGACTCCAAAGAGTTAAAACTGAGTAGAAGCGACAGGTTAATGTTTAGCTGTTTTGGCCAAATGGCCAAGTGTGAGATGCTTACAGCAGAGTGGTGGCATTTTAAAGGTACTTGTGAACACTTCTCTGCAAATTGACTCCTTAAAGCTTTTTTGAGCCAAAAACCTGTTTTTCAACCTGTTTTATTCCATCTAAAGCCTTTGATGTGATACTGAACAGGTGAGACTTGTGGCTTGGCTTTTCTAGGGTGAGAAGAGTACCAACTGTGGAGTGTTTCTCATCTGGCCCTTCTTTCTGGATGCTCTCAGTGGCATTTATTTTTTGATAAAAACTACTAAAACCTAGAGTTAGGAATTCAGAGCCTTTCACAGCTTTTCTTCAGGAATCTGAGTTTAAAAACCAAATTTCCTTGAGCTTATAGAACTTAAAAGATGCAAGTGAAAAAGGAGAAAGTCTGTAATGATAGAAGTCTTTAGTGGAAGAGATTTTGTATGTCTGGAAACAGAAATATGCTTTAAAAAATTGCCATTCTGGCTTGTAGTATCCCTATTAAGCAGGGGCTTGATGTCATGCCCTGTGACACTTGAGCAGAATTGAGGTTCATCTTGGTTATTCTCTTGTTTTAATATTCCGAGTAATAGTGATCCTGCTGTTGAAGCAGCTGCTGTTGCCTGGATCAGGCATCTATGTTTTAAAATACATACTCTGTGTTTGAGCCCAAATTTTTAGTAAGAATAAGCAGTGTAGGGCTCCAAGGACCTCCCCTCTGTTTTGGGATAATAATCCATTTGGTGTTAAAAGCTGAACTTCCACTTGTTTTTGAAACAGATGATAACCAAAACAAACCCAAAATGTTTCCAGGCCTTTCCTAATTGACTGTGGTGCCTGGCACTCCTGGAAGTGAAGCACAGTGTGTTTTTCCATTGACAAAGCTGTGAAGACTGCAAAATAAATACCATTGAGTTTGGGAAAACACCCCAAGCAAGTACTTGCCCAAAGGCGGGTCAGAAAACAGCCCTCGGAGCCACTCTTGCTGCTTTTGTCAGCATGGTCCCTGGTCCTTTAAAGAAATCCCATCTAATAAACTGCTGGCCCTGGCATACTGGATGGCTGTGGTCTCAAAATCCTCATGCTTTCTTAAGTGTGTGTTAAAAACTGCTAAAAATGGGGTGTTACCTGGTGAGAACCTATGGGCTTCCTAAAGCAAACCCGGAGCACTGATTTATTTCTAATAGGTCTTGAGTCATTGGAAAGATCACTTATTGATTCAGTGAATATTCCCCCCTTGGCAAAATGGTGTTAGTTACTGTAGTGCCTGCAGTGGACTGGTTAATTAGGAGGGTGAACCAGTTTGGTTGCTGCAGCCCTGAGGTCTCCCAGGCTACTGGAACAAGTACCAGGGAGTAAATGCTGAAGGAAAGGGAAACAGAAGGAGGGAAGTGCAGGTGAAGTGTTGTGTTGAGTTACAGATGTAATATTGAAAACTTGCTGTCTTAATTCTTTCCCCAGCTCCTGTCAATTCCTTTGTACAGCTCCGTGAGGCATGGGAAGAGAATGGTTTTGATTTGGTGAAAGCTGTTGCAGTTGTTACAGAAGGAAAGGATTTTTTAGTTGCATTTCTTTTTGCACATGGCAGTCTCCTTACCTGTCACTTTTCTGTCCTTGTGTCCAGGTTATGGAGACGGAGAGGATGATTTATCTAGTGACAGAGTATGCTAGTGGAGGGGAAATATTTGGTAAGTACATTTATTGTGTTCTTTAATCAGATAATGCACTTGGTCAACTCCAGCAAACTGCAAATAGCTGCCACACTCTTGTTTCATTTGAGAGGTGCCTTTCAGCCTGAGAACTTTCCATTGACAAGAGGGGGAAAGAAATAAATCATACCAACTTGATGGAAAAATAACTTCCATGACCTTTGTTTCTTCTTTGGGTTTCAATGACAGGTGGTGCTGCCCCTCTTTTATGCTGACTTTAGGATTAAAGATGTTGGAAATAGTAATCCAGTTGCCTTTTACAGTACTGCTGGATGCTTTGCTTCCCAGAAGTTATGAGACTTGTTGATGATAGCAGAAATGTTGGTGTTTTAGTAGCTTTCAGAGAGACGAGCTGTCCTGTGCATCTCTAGCATTTGTTCTCAAACTAGTGTATTTTCTTATCTTTTTGATATCTGATGTTATCTTAGCATGTATTAGTTACATCCATTTTAAGCTCCATTGTCTAATAGTGTTTCAGCTGAGCTTTCTAGACCACAGAAGCTATTCTTTAAAGGAAAAAAATAAATATATCCGAGCAGCACAATTGCAAGAGCCATTGACTGATTTATTAATTTTTTTATTGCCATGACCAGTGAGACAACTTGCAGAAATAGGATTTTACTTACGCACTGGAATTTTGTGCTAGATGACAGGGTCACAGTTTTGCAAGATTGGTATTTACTGGCTTAGCCAAAGTGAGCCTCAGAAAAGAGGGAAATTCCTTCATGCTTGAAGTGAGCTGGCTGAAATCTGCTTCCAGGCAGTGTCCTTGTGAGGACAGCCACACACAGCCTGTCAGCTCAATGGAAACACTCTCCTTTTTGTCCTCTTCAGTCATTGCAGAAGAATCACTTTTGATGTTGGAGCCCCTCTGCTGGAACAGAGGCTGAGTTGTAATAAAGGGTGAAGCTTTTAGTGAAGCAAGAGAAGTCCCAAATTAAGGAAATAGGACAACTTGAGCTGGAAAATGCTGGCTTCCAGTGCATATAATCCAATACCAGTTAATCAGTACCTTGTAGATGTTTTCTTCTCAACATCGTCAACGTCCTTTGGATTTCTTCTTCTCTGAGAAGGTGACAACTGAAGAGCGAAGCAAGTAGCAGCTGATGTGTGGAGAGTGTGTATTGCCTGGTGAAAAAACCTGACTTTGTCCAGCTGAGTGTTCCAGTTGTTCCTTCAAACAAGTACTGTGGTGCTAGATGCCCAGCAGTTCTCAAGGCATGTGCAAGTCATCCTACCTTGGGCAGCAAAATCACCTGAATGTGCGTTAGTGTTTGCTTGTATGTGGATCACTGCAGGAAAGTATAAATCACTTTGTACTTTTTCTCCCTCTTCTGTTGAATTTGGCAGAGATGGGCTCATCTTTTTTTAAGTCCAGAACTATGTGCAAGCTCATATACAAACTTGGAATGAATTCTCCCAGTGACAAAAATAGCCTTCTACATGAGTCGAAGTGAAAATCTAATTGCTCTCTGAAATATTTTATGCTGTAGAAGATCCAGCTCATTAGCATGGCTAATTTCCATTACTGTGCCCAGTGTTTTATCCTCGTTGGTAGCAGGGAGCAGTTATGTCACAGCCCTGATGTTCTTCCAGACCGCAGCTGGGGGCCGTGCCCTCGATAGCTGGTCAGGAGCATTTTCAGGCACTGCAAGAGGCCTTAGAGCAGAGAAGGGGGAAACTAAAGTCTCAGCTTTTAGTAATCAGGGTTTCCTGAGGAGCCACGAAGACTTTGTTCTAACACGGAAGCAGTTTATGGGAGGAAGCAGGAGCCTGTTCTGGGAAGGTTTTCTTGCCATCGTTGGCATCCCCAGTGCTGAAGAGCCTCATGTCCTCGTGCTGTTAAAAAGGTTTCCACACAAGCTGGCTGCCCACCAACTCCAGCTCTTCTCTGGTGGTATGCAGCAGCGGGGCTGGGACTCACCTCTTGCTGAGGGTAGAATTCTGTCTGGATGCTGCTTCCACGCAGGGACTCCCTGGTTTGTGGCAGGCTGCCAGGAAGGGCTGGACTTGCTGCAGGGACAGCTCTGGGTGTGTAGGGGCAGTGCTGGGCACCAGGGAATCCTCAATATTCAATGTGCCTCTGCAGAGTGTTTTTGTCTCTTTTTCCTGATTATCTCAACATCTGCATGACCCAGGTTTGAATGCAGAAGTGTAGTGCTGAGCTGCAGATGGGGGGGCTGAAACTGGGGGTTTCTGGATGCTCAGTGTAAGGCTCAGTGCCTCGTGTAATCCCAAATACAGCATCACACTTGGGTGAACCGCAGGGTTTTGTTAGAAGGAAATCTCAGTTGTTTCCTCCCTTGCTGCTTTAAAAAGACTTTCAAAGGTTTAAATTGTACCATGCAGCTGTAAATATTACATAGGCAGTAATATAGGATGGAATTTTTAGCTGAATGAATGGTAGCTTCTCTAAATGGCCACAGTTTCAGTCAGTGTTGGACACTTGCCTTTCTTGTCCCTTGTTGGTATGAGCAATGCAGGCTGTCCTGGGTTAGCACCTAGGAGAGCTTTCCAACCTGTTTATCTGAATTTCCAGTAAAAAGAGGGCTGGTAGCTCCTTCACTGGCTGAGCTGTGCCTGGAATGTCTTTGATTCATCTGTTACTGGAAATGTTGTGATAATTCACTGTTTGCGCAGTGGTACACAAGGATCAGGGAGAAGACTTGCTGTTCTGTGGGCTTAAGCAGCAAAATGTAAATTGTTAGTTTTGTCCCTATGGATGTTTTGTGTGTGGTTTGGTTGTGGGTTTGACATTATGGACAAATGAATGTCTTCTTTTAAACATAGGGTGCTCTTTGTTCCAGGTCCCTCCAGTGCCCTTTTTTTGAGGTCAAACAGAATATACTTTAAAAGTTTGTTTTGATTTCAGCTGTTTACTTTGCATACTGTAAATAATCTGCAGTCCTCCTTGAAAAGAATGTGGTTACCTGCTTGATCAACAAAAATCCTCAGAAAACTTGACAAAATTATCATCTGGTTTATGGGGTTTGCATGTCTGCTGCCTCTGCCCCTTCTCTCCATCTCCTCCTGCTTGTCCTAAGCTTTGAGTCCCAAAAGACAGATGTTAAACAGTGTAGTACCAGCTTCTAGAAGGTCAGACAGCTTCCGAGATCACTAGGTCACCAAATACTCTGGAAATTTAACTTAATCCACCACACAGAGGAGATGTGAGGCTTAAGCAGCATTTGCTTTCAGGATAGAAAGCAACTTCGAAGCGCGAGGAGCCCGTCTAGAGGAGAAAAATGGGAATTTGTGTATTGATCCTGTCCTTGAGCAGAAGATGCTTTTTCTTCGTGTAGGATTTAGCTGCTTTTTTTTAATGCAGAGAGCAGCATCCTGTGCTTCATGTAAGAACAGCAACTGATGTTTTTAAGGGCTCTGAAATGCACTGATGTGTGTCTGACCCAGCAGCAAGTCTGCATCTGGCCTTAGTGCACTCGAGAGCCCTGTGCTGGCTCCCAGCTGAACATTCAGGTCATCCCTGTAACCTCTGCTGCATGAGAGGTTTATGCAGACTAAGCTGGCAATGGTTAATTTTGGCATACAGTTGCCCTTGGTGGTATGTGAAGTATTCTGTAGCTTCATTGTTCCTGTCCTTCCTCTGCAGCTTGTGCAGAAATGTCAGTGGTCTCCCAAGTGCTGTGCCTACATGCCAAGCCTGGAGACCGGCCTGCGCTCACTTTTCTTCAGGAAAAGTGAAATTCCACACCTGACCTAGGAGGATGTTTTCACAGCCTAAGCAGGACTGACTAATCAAAGGGGCAGCAGAGTTTCCTGCATGAGCAGATGTCAGGCAGGGCAGTCCCAGAGAGCAGGACACACGGTGTGTCACCATCCGTGGGCAGGGCCAGGGCAACCTGGCTTGGGGGAAAATACACTTGGGGGAGCCTTGTAGAAAGGCACCTGCTGTGGCAGATGGGGTTGGTTTCTTGCCTTCAGGAGAAGCTCTACAATATTTTCAGAAGTGTTGAGATATTGGAGCCTTGTGCTTTAAGAGCACTTGCTCTGTTGGGCTGTACTCCCAAGTGCAAGTGGAGTAAAAGATGTGAATGACCTGGACCCATGAGCAGAGAGCAGCTCAGCTCCCACATCAGTTGTGGTGCTTACCCTGGAGCAGGCCCTGCTTCCCTCTGCTTGTCAGTCCCTCAACTGCTTAAAGTAAAAATTTATGACTGGGCAAATGACACTGAAATATGATGGGGTGATTTGAGACAATAAATTTTGCTTTTCCTAGAAAATGAATTGAGGGCCACAGTGGATCTGGTGATGGATTTCCTTACCCAGCTCTGGCTCAGATTTGCTCGTGGAATAAGTTTATCTGGTGAATAAAACTTAATTGACAAGTTCTCTGAAAAACAACTTCACTCTGTTGTGCAACGTGAGTAGTCAAGCATAGAGAAGCAGGTTGCTGTGCAGTCAGAAGCCAGCAGAACTGCTTTGATGGATCTTGGTAATTAGTATTTACTGCAAGTCAATTATGTCGCAGGTATTTTAATTAATGGGTGACTGGGAAAAAATACAACCACCCAATGGGAAGCCTTTAGAAGTGATATATTTGTATTATTTTCAAGAACAGGTCTCTCTGTTGAGCCCTCTCATTTAATGGAGTTGATGGAGTGAAATTAATAATTTCAGCCTATTTCTGGCCAGAAGTCTCCTGAGGCCACCTCCATGGTCCAGCTGAGAAGCCACAGCCTCTTGAAAGGGGCAAGGAGATAAGCTTCTGGGGTTTGCGTTGCTAGTGCCTCTGCTGACCTGCCCTGTGGGCTTGTGCAAACCTCTCCATAGCTTTTCCCACAAGTTGGGGGAACCTGGGAGCCCTCCTGGTCCCACATGTGGTTACTGGGGACTCTCCAGGACCCTCTTCTGTAGCTTTGTAGCACCCCCCTCTCATCATAATCTTGCAAACTACTGTTCCTACCCTTGTCTTATAGTGCCACACCAGTTTTAGCTAGGTTTGCTTATAGGGTAGAGAGAGATTAGGAAAGAGTAATAATTTTATTTCAGAATTCAACCTCTGCTCACTTTGACTTTCACACTTTTCTTTGTGGAGCTTTGTTGTCTGTTCTGCTGAAGCTTTAAGGGAAGGGGATGCTTTTTCTCCTCCTTTCTCTTCCATTTCTGCTGCCAGTCCCCTGCCTGTCCATCCCCTCTTGAGGGACAGTCTCAATGACTTCCATAAGTCTGGTGCTTTCAGATTTTAAGGGGATTGATTTAAGTTGGGTGCCTGCTGTGTGCCTGCCTTTGTGATCTCTTGGAGAGACTCCTCCTGTCCTTATGTAGCTTCTAAGGAAAGCCCAGCTGGCAGCAGATACTACCTTTGAATGAGAGTAGAGATTTTTAACAAAATATTTCAGAGTACTTAGATTTCTGTAGCAGAGGCAAGCTCCATTTCTGTAATGAAATGCATTGTTGAATCTTCCCAGTATGTTTCCTGTGAAAAGACAGAGGGATGGAGGGATGGCACGTGGCCACAAACCTGCACCTCTCACTGTTGAAGTAGTATGGTCTGAGGTTTGGTGTTTGCCTGAAGGAAGAAGGTTGAAAAACCTTTATTTTGGTGTAGAAAAAGATGTAAAAACATCCACCTGCTTCCCAAAACAGTTCTGATTTTCCAGCCAGCCCTGTCCTCTTGGACAGCCTTATATTTGCAGACAGCCCAGGGAAGGGCTGGAGTGCCAGAGTCTCCTTCCTTCTGCTTTTGGAACCTGGAAAACATGCTGGTGCCCATGTTGTTCCCTGTCTCCAGCCTCCGGAGAAGGCCCTGCCTGGGTTGTCCTCTCAGTGTGAATAACTACTTTGTTCTTCACTTTGTCCCTCACAGATCACTTGGTGGCCCACGGGCGCATGGCTGAGAAGGAAGCCCGGAAGAAGTTCAAGCAGATCGTGGCTGCTGTCAACTTCTGCCACTGTCGGAACATTGTCCACAGAGACCTGAAAGCAGAAAATCTTCTTCTGGATGCAAACCTTAACATCAAAATAGCAGGTGAGCTATGGGTGGGGGGAAGGCAGCTGATTTCAGGAGTTAATAAATGTGGGCATTGGCTGCTTCCAGGTATTCAGAAAGAAGGAAGCACAGTGTGACTAAAGGAAGCTTTGGATTTCTGTGTGGCCTGCTGCCCAGAGCTGGAACTGCCAGGTTGTAGCCAGGAGATTAATATCTCCCTGCAAGTAGTGCAAAAGAAAAGAAGGGAAAAAAGCTGGTTTGTCTTTGTAGACAGATAAGCAGCTATAGGTGCTGCTGTGTTCCGGTGCACTGGGCAGGAGTAGTACTGAAAAAATTGACCTTGTTCTGAGAACTGCTGTTGGTTTAGGACTACTTAGCAGCAGGTCAGTCTAGGTGAGAGAGAATGGAAAGTAAGGATGACTGGTTCTGATAGAGCAATGAAGGGGAAACAGCACCTCTGGGGTTGCTTCACTGTCTGACAAGCAACAGAACTGCCCCTGGTGCTTTGGGTGTTTTATTTGTGGCAGGGAGAGAAGCTGAAGTCACTGAATGAAATCAGGCCCTTAGTCTCTTGCTAGTGTGTTGCTGGGTATTGAGGCTTTTGCTAAAACTGCCCTTCCAGGGAGCTGGCATCTGGGGCAGTTTCTAGACAGGTTCTGCCATGGGCCTGCATGTCTGTGATCCTTCTGTGCGTGAGACTGAGCCTTGGCTGCTGAGCTCTGAGGTGCACTGACTAGACCTGGCTTTATTTAGCTTTGTGGGATTACATAGCAACCCATTGGAACAAGAGGATTTAGCACTACCCTGGACACTTCATTTCCTGGGCTTTTGCACTGGAAGAGCCTGTGCTTACTGTGTAATTCCCCTAGAGCCTAATGCATAGCGGAGTGTTTTTAGAAAGCACTTTGTTGCTTCTTCCCTTAACAGACTTTCTTGGAGAGCTCGTTGGCTTTTACAAGAGTTTCTAACTTGAATTTTTAAAAGTGCTTAGTGCTACAAAACTTCTCAGTCCGTGAGCAATTTTAATACTGGTAGTTGGGGAATACTATTCTAGCTTGATACCATCTTGGAGCGAGGCAGTCTTGTTCATCATGTTATTGTTCTCTTATGGATATTTAGTAGTATAAACCATGTCTTGCTTCACTTTTGTGCAAGGACACTGAGCTGTTGTGGGAGCAGAAGATGAGTAAGACACGTTGCAGATGAAGTACAAGTGGCTTGTGGGGTTTTCTGTGTGTGACGTGAACCTGTGTTGCCTTGGACAGCATTTCATGGCAGCTGAAATCCTGCTAGTTCAGGCTTCCCAGTCACAGAGGGAAATGTGCTGACAATCTGGGGAGAGGGCTTGGTTTGTCCAGTTGGACTTACTTCCTACAGCTGGGGGAGAACCTCTGTGCAGCAGGAGGGCAGCAGCAAGTGCCTGTTGGTACCTGCTTCCTGGGCAGGGGAAGGAGGTGGTGGCAGGCAACAGCTCTTACAAGAGAGGCTGCTCAGAAGGTCTTTATCAGCAGCACTCTCTGGTTTATGCAAACAAATGCACAGAGGGTTTGAGGCCATCTTGTGTTCACGTGGTAAAATCCAATCTGGGGGGGCGGGAGGGTGCCTAACAAATCAAAAGGAAGACAGAAGTTAAAAGCTAACCCAGGTGTAAACTGGAATGTGGCTGCATTTCCCAAGGGAATGTCCAACTGAGCAGACTGACAAGCTCTGTGAATGTCTGAAAACTGGGGAAACTTTATCTAAGGGAGCTGGAAACTATTTTCATTCCAAATCTTTGCTCCCAGAATGGACTCTAGGAGATAGTTCCCACCCTGGTGGTGGTAGTGTTTTACTTGGCAGGAAGATGTAGTAGTGCTTTGAAAAGTAGCCTGGAAAAGCTGATTTATGGTATAGGATTTTCCAAGTATTAAGTTTTGTCCCTGTAACTCATACTTTACAACTTGACACCAGTTCTTCCACTGTTTCAAGAGCTAAAAGAGAAGCGATAGCAACTGATCTTTCACACCAGACCTCCCAGAGTAAATTCTATGGAAACACACAAAGCCTTGTTACACAGGGTGGAAGATCAGCTAAACCTTCACTGCCAAACCCATGAACAATCTCCAACTCAGTCCTCTCTAATGTTCAGCTGCTGGAGGCTGTGGATACATGTTGAGTGTGTTCTGAAGGCTCTGCTTGGTAGCTCTGGTCACTTGATCTGCTGAGCAGCAGCAGCACAGACGTGGGATGCAGTGAGCCAGTGGGTCTTCTCGGGTAGCCAGGGCTGAGACTGGGACTGCAGCTTTGTGGTTCTGTTGATACCCAGATGTGCAGACTTTAGTAATGTACACAATTCCATTAATTGTTCTAGTTTTTCAGACTCTCAGCAGTGCAGATGGTCTGGCACATCACTGGCCTCCATGTGCAGCTTTGCATCCCTTACTTGGCATTAGTTTAGTAACAGACACTTTGTGTGGTGGTCTGGAAGGGGGTTCATGGTTCTGTTCTCACTCCATGGTCACTACAAGGGTGCTTTTTGAGGTTGTTTTTTTTTATTAATTACAACTCTACTTTTCTGTAAACGGTAATATCCAAACGCTGTTACCCTCACTCTCACTTTTCCTGTGGATGCTTTTTCTCCAGTGTACCTTCTCAAAGCCTGAGCCAGTAGCTTCTGGCACTGTGTTCCCCTGTGCTCCTGGCCAGGGAGTTCAGCCAGGAGCTGAGATGGTTGCTAAATGCCCAGGCTGTCCTGGGATATGGTTTCAGAGAGGAATCTGATCTATGCACTGCTTGCTCTTTCACCTTCTGATGACAAAAGCCCCTCTTGTGCAGAAACTAAAGCCAGCTCCCTGAAGTGCTGCTCAGAGGAGACATGCACTGGGCCTGCTTTTGTAGCACAGAGATGTTTCTTTTTTAATATTTTCCCTTTATCACATCCCTGTGACTTTTACCTTGTTCTTTAAAAGTGCCCTTTTCCCTCTGTGTTAGTTTGTGGACTGAGACCTGGTTGCTCTCTGGGGATTTATATGTCCCCCTGGACTAGGGGGACTTGCCATAGTTTTTAAGTAAGTTTATTTAAGTTGTAGTTTATTTTTTTTTGTTTTCTTTAGATTTTGTGGTGTTGCTTGTTGCTTTGGGGTTTTCATATCCCTCTCCCTAGCTTTCTGGGGGGCTTTTAAACAGCCTGCTGTTTTCACCAGGCTTGACCTTGGTTCCTGCAGCACAAGTGGGTCTGGAAGCTGCTCCAGCCTCTGAACAGTGTCCATGTGAGCTGGAGCCGTCCCGCAGGGCAGCCTGACTCACCCAGAGGTGTTTGTGGAGCAGCAGCTCTCTGCAGGGAGAGGTTTTTATCCTGAAACCCGGGGCAGCTGTGAGGTGGCTGCAGGAACTCCAGGACCTGTTGGTTGAACATGAGCAGCTCATGGCATCTCTGCCCCCTGAGCCCTGTTCTCTAGGGAGATACTCAGCAGGCTGGTGCTCTGCCCACCTCCTGCACTGTCAAAACGAGCTGTCAACCCGTGGGCTGATTTCATCCTGACGTGCAAGGGGCTAAAGTTTCAAAGACAGCCAATCTCCTGCAGCTCCTCAGTGCAGAGAAGGTTGCAGGAGGCAGCTGTTGCATGTCTGTCCAGCCTCCAGCTGGCATGGCACAGCTCTGCCCTTGCCTCAGAACATGCTGCTGCTCCATCCCTGCAGGACGGGCTCCTCAGTGTGGCTGTGGGCTGAGGCAGCAGCCTGGGAACACCTTCTTCCTCTGCCCATGCAGAGCTGGAGCTGCTGCCAGGCTGCATGGAGCAATATTCACTGCTTTGGAAATATGGCAGGTCCCAAAGTGTGCTGCAAAGCTCACCTGAATACAGACAAGGATGAATAAAAGTAACTAAACCAGAATAATTTGCTCAAAATGTGTGAAGTACCAAAATTCCAGTGTGTTCTTGCACAGTTGGAAGAGTTTACATCTAAACTTGACTACAAATGCTTTGTTGTTAGATTGAAATATATTTAGTGCTCTTGTTTTTCTTGCTTTCTCTGGTAGCTGTAAACCAGGCCCACATTACACATCCTAATTCAAACGTGAGACACAACAGCTCAAAAGCTTGCAGAGGTGGAAAAGACAAGTGTGCAGCTATGTGCTGCTTCCCTGAGATCTTCCTCCAAAGGCTGACTGCTCTTGTCTTCTGGAAGCTTAGATTTATTCATTTCCAACAGTAAAACCCCACAGGGTGTTTACCTATCTTGTTTTGGTCCTGAGGTGCTTTTAACAACCACTCATCATCCCTGTGCTCTGTTTGGGGGCAGGCTGTGAGCAGAGGAAGTTCTTCACAAGCATGAGCCATTTTCCATGAGCAGTTTACCCTTGTGGGTGGAAGATAAGAAAGGACATTGTCTGGACCCTCCTTAAGCTGAGCTAGCAGAAGCCAGGGGGTCTGCTGAGCTGTGCAGAAGCTGTTTGGAGGAGGAGAGGAGAGTCATTTCACCTGAAATTAGGTCATGGAAAATCCTGTAAGGAAAGCAGTGAGCAGGAGCACAGATTCACCGATTTGGGCATTGCCTGTGAAGTGCCAAAGGGGTCTCCTCTGCCTCTGGCATGGAGGTGTTGGCCATCACTGGCCCTGCTGGTGGCTCTGGGAGGCTGGTGTGAGTCTCTGGGTACTGGTGTAAAGGGGCTTTTGTCTAAAAGACAGCAACCATTTTCCTTTGGCAGGGTAATATTTGAAGGTGTTGGTGATTTAGGGAAACAAACCTTTTCTGATGGCTAAAGAATGCACGGCCAAGTCCTTATCTTTTAGAGCATGGATAAATGTGAGGAGAAAAGCAAATAAAACCAAGAGATTAATGGAAATGGAAAAGACCTTCTGTGCTTTTGGATCTCAGATAGCATTTAACATTTGTGTAAGTGTATTTAAAGATTCAATTTTAGTCAAATTCTTCTTCCAAAAGACTTAGATTTTTCCCTCACAGGTAGGCAGACAGCTGTGTGTGTTCTGCAGTTCTGACCAGTGATGGGAGTCAAAATTAAGCTCTCTTACAAGAGATTTTTAACTTCTGCAGCTGTACCCTGGGTTTTTTACCACAATGCTTTTTGGTTTAATCAGTTAGAATTTGCAGACCAAGTATTTCTGGCCCTCCTTGGTTTTTTTTCTGGCATTTCTCACACAAGCCTGCTGTGAGGATCTACTGCTGGTGCAAATGCCATGAAAAATGTCCTTGTTTCTGTGGGTCCCTGTCCACCAGCATTAATGTCACTCGCCCTCCTGCTGGCCCTTGTAGCAGAAACACCAGCGGGTTGCAGATCCCCTCTGGGGCACTGCTCCTGGTGGGGCTGCCTTCTAAGGACACCTCGTTCACAGGACCTGGGGACATCTTTCCATGTATTTGCTTTTATTCAGTTGAGGTGAAATTAAAAAAATATTAATGAGGATTCCACTTTTATAAGGAAAAACACCTCTCTGGATTCCAGACTTTAGCTTCTCTGCTCTTTCCAGTGCAAGTCCCAGCTGTGTGCTGGGGGTGGTGGGTTAATTAGCAGAGAATGCCATTAGTGCCCACATAAGCTGATGGTTGACTGCCCCTAAGGTTAAGACCTTTCTTTTAACGTCTCTTTCAGGATTTATTATTTGCTGTTGGTGGGTGGTTTGGTTTGTAGAGCTGCCCACCATAACCGAAGTATCCAGCTTGAACAGTGCTTTCTGGAAACCCAGAATTTCCCATCCTGCTTCCCTTTGCATTCTGTCCTTGCTGGTGGCTGCCCTGGCCCTAATGAAGTTGTGAAACTTGACAGCTGAAGGATGGAAGCTGAAAGGATGGAAATTAACACAAGATTTATGGGTGATTTATTGAATACAACATGGAAACCTCATTCCAAACCATCCACCTGACTTGCAGCAGCCCTGGTTGATCTGATTGCTGGTGTGTTGACTCCAGCACAGAATCTCATAGGTGGAAAAGGAGGAGCAAACTTCTGGAAGGATCTTTGTGTTCTGCTAAGCCAAAGCAGTGTGACTGGATGTGAAGCAGGTCTAAGACCTGGCATTTTGCAGCAGGTTCTTTAAATGGGTTCTCTTTTATCCTGGAAGTGGACATGCTGCTCTTAATACTTGGTGGTTTTTTGTCTTGGAATGGAGCATAGTTGCCCACTGGCCTGGAAGTTTCAGCCTTGTTCTTACTCTTCTTGCCTCTCCTGCATTCTTCCTCTGGTGTCTGTGTTGTCCATTCTGGGATTGTGTGTGACTTGTCTAAACTCAGCAAGTTACTTCAATAATATTTGTTGAAGATAGTTGGAGAGATTGTATTCTTCTAACCAGTTCTCTATATTCTTTCAGATTTTGGGTTCAGTAACATCTTCACACCCGGGCAGCTGCTTAAAACCTGGTGTGGGAGTCCTCCCTATGCTGCTCCAGAGCTTTTTGAAGGAAAGGAGTACGATGGGCCAAAGGTTGACATTTGGGTACGCTACGAACCTCCTCTCTTTGCTCTTATTTTTGCCCTGTTTCCTTCTCTCTTACTTAGCTCTCATTTTTGCTCTGTTTTGCTTTCCTTCCTGAATCCTTAATACATATCTTCGAAAAAAGCCCTTGATGTAGCAAAAAAATGTTTGGAGCAGTCTCCTCCATGACACTGGCAGGCACAAAGCCTGCTTTGCCCAGCAGCCCTGCCTTCCAGCACCGCCTTGGGTGCTTTTCCTTCTGTATTACTATTTTATTCCAATTTAAACAACATCTCCTGCAGTCAGCTGCAGTCTCCTGCTCTCCCCCTCTGACCCTGCTGCTCTCTTTGGCTGCAGAGCCTCGGGGTGGTGCTGTACGTGCTGGTGTGTGGTGCCCTGCCCTTCGACGGGAGCACGCTGCAGAACCTGCGGGCACGGGTGCTCAGCGGGAAGTTCCGCATCCCCTTCTTCATGTCCACAGGTAAGGTGGTCCTGGCAGTGCCTGAAGCCCTGTGTTCAGTTCTGGAGCCCCCAACATGAGGATGACATGGAGCTCATGGAGAAAGTTCAGAGAAGGGCCACAAAGATGATCTGAGAGCTGGAGGAGCTCTGGAGACAGGCTGAGAGAGTTGGGGTCTGCAGCCTGGAGAGGAGAAGGCTCCAGGGAGCCCTTAGAGCACCTATGTTGTATGATGGCGAGATCATGCTCAGCTGTTGCTGGATGGGGAAGTTTCAGAGGATACTTGGCCCTTCAGCCCCCAAAGCCAGTGGTGTCCCCAGCCAGTGGTGGTGGGGAGGGACAGGGTGACAGCGTGCCACCTAGGGGTGGCTGCCTTCCCTCCCAGCCTGGGGAAACCCAATCTCTGCAGCAAAGTGGCACCTCGGGGACTGAAGGGGTGAGAGGTGCAGAAGGAGGAGCAGTGTGATTTCCTACGGGGGTGCTTGTTCCTTGGGAAGGAAGTGCTGTCCTCCCGGCAGTGCCCCAGCCTGTCTGTCCCCCACAGAGTGTGAGCACCTGATCCGCCACATGCTGGTGCTGGACCCGAGCAAGCGGCTCTCCATGGAGCAGATCTGCAAGCACAAGTGGATGAAGCTGGGAGAGGCTGACCCAGAGTTTGACAGGGTGAGGAGCAGGAGCAGGCTCTGCCTGGTGCCTGCAGGTGGGCTCTGGGCACAGTGCTTGTTTTGACCATTCGAGAGCTCTGTTTGCATCTTGCCCGTGGTGCTGAGATCCCAAGGCCCTGGGTGTTGAAGGGCTGTGCCATCAGCCCGCAGAGCTGCTGGCAGCTCACAGCAAACCCCGTGCAGTGGCTCCCCAGAGGGCTGTGACAGCTGTGGTGCTGGGGATGGTGGCACTGAAGCCTTGTCCCTGCTCCCACAGCTGATTGCAGAGTGCCAGCACCTGAAGACGGAGCGGCAGCTGGAGCCCCTGAACGAGGAGGTGCTGCTGGCCATGGCAGACATGGGGCTGGACAAGGAGCGCACAGCCCAGGTAGGACCGCACAGCCGGCAGCACGTCCTGCCTGCTCCACCAGAGACCCAAAGGGCTGTCTGTTGCTGGTCACCTCTGGTAACTGAGCAGCCTCAGCACAATGTGGGAATGTATTTCATTGCTGACAAAAGGAACTAACTCCTTTTGTTTTTCCCCTCTAGTCACTAAGGGCTGATGCTTACGATCACTACAGTGCAATCTACAGCCTGCTCTGCGACCGCCTGAAGCGGCACAAGAACCTGCGTATCGCGTCGTCTCCCAGTGTCCCACGGACCATGACCTTCCCCACCTCAACCAACATCCAGGTAGATCCTGCTTGCTTTGTGTTCTTCCAGCCCTGCAAGGCCAGCCAGTCCCTTACCTGCCAAGCTCAGACTTGCCTGTGGGTGTCCTCATCCTGGCAGGAGTGTCAAAACATTCCTCATCCAAAAACTTCGGGATCACAGCACCCTAACACTCATGGGATTATGAACAGTTTGGCTGTGGGTTTAGGGGATGCCCTTCAGACAGTGCTCTGTGTCAGCTCAGTGTCAGAGCAGGCAGTGTGAGGGTTGCTGGTTGGGAGCTAGAGTTGACAGACCAGGACTGCTGTGCCTTGCTTCTTCCTTGATTTGTGCTGCTGCCCAAGAAATGAATATTTGCTTTAAGAGAGGCCAGGTCATAAGGGAAGCAGAAGAGATGCTGACCCCACCTGAAGAGAAGGGAGGAGGGGAAATGAGGCAACCCCTTGAGAACTAAGAATAAACACATCTTCACTGCCTCCAGGGTAGCCTCCCTGTTCCCTAGTGCTTAGGGCTGTGCACTGGTGTTAATCCAGCAGTGTTTGTAAAGGGGGTGTAAGAGATGCTAGCTTTAGGTCTTCTGATTCTGGTCTCTCTGCTCAGCAGACAGAGCAGACAGGCAATACCATGAACATCAATGTGCCACAAGTCCAGCTCATCAACCCTGAAAACCAAATTGTGGAGGTGAGTTACACCCCTTGATGACCCCCACAAGTTCTTTTCCCGGGCTGGTGTTGAAGCCTTTTGCTTGATCCTCACCTCATATTTCAACATCTCTAATGTTCTGCCTGCCCAGACTGATGGAACAATGAACCTGGATAGTGATGAAGGGGAAGAGCCATCACCTGAAGCTCTGGTCCGTTACCTGTCCATGAGAAGGCACACAGTTGGAGTAGCTGACCCACGGTTAGTATTGGACTCTTAACTCCCTGGTGGAGTATTCAGAGAACCTGAATATTTGCTCCTAGCACAGGACTTCGGTCCTTCTGAGATGTCACAGGTTTTATTCATGTGCTGCATTGGAAGGTGAGAGGCTAATGCCTTAAGGGGACTTCTGGGCTCTGTGATGTGGAAGAGTTGATCCATTTTGGACTGGCAGTGGTGACCAGTTTCTGGGTCGGCAAATACCTGTCACAGTGTGCTCCTTGGTCCCAGGTCTTTGCTTCACTTAAGTCAGACCAGGTGGTGACAAGTGCATGAGTCTGTGTCATAGCTGGTGTCAAACCTTTGGGTTCATTCTTCTGCTATGAGTAGCTTGGAGCTGTTTCTGCCAAGTTGATTTTTGCTAGATGGGAAAAAAAAATTCAAGGTGTCTCTTTAGCAACAGTCCCATTGCACAGCTTGATTAGTGTTTCAGCTGAGGGTGAGATGCTCTCCTTCTCTTCCTGAGGAGCTCTCTGTAAGGTGCCATGGTGTTCACTAGAGTGCAAGCCAGTGTCTCACCTCAACTGCACTGCTGTCCTGTCCTGGGTGAAGGTTTTGTGATAAATTTGATTGAGGTTAATGCAAAGAACTAGTTCTGGCAAATCTCAACTCAGGGAAAAGAGGGACCAATGAAACCCAGAGTGGCTTGGTCTTTGTGACCGTTTTCCAGAGTAACAAGAAGCCTTTTTGGGAGTGGAAGCTTGAGTGCACTGGGGCCCATGGGTGGTTCTCTTCACATCACTGCTAATTAACTTGTCTGCATGTGATTGCACAGGACGGAAGTGATGGAAGACATGCAGAAGCTCCTGCCTGGCTTACCCCGAGTCACTCCTCAGGCTCCATTCCTGCAGGTGACCCCGAATGTGAACTTCATGCACAACATGCTGCCCAGACAGAACCTGCAGCCCATGGGGCAGCTGGAGTACAAGGTACTGACCCACAACATGTGCTCCCTCCTGCAGCCTGTGCCTCACCAGCCCATGGGGCTGTGCTGGCCCTTGCTCTCTCTATTTGCCAGCTCCTTGGGCTCCACAAGCTTTATCCCCTTGCTGTCTCTTTAGGGATGATTCTAGTTGGTTACTTTAAAAGCTGAAGAATGAAAGAGCACTGCAGTATGAAAGTAATGAAAGGGCTGGGGAGCAGCAGCACTGTGCTGCCTGGCTGTGGAGCTGCAGGTTGCAGCCTGCCTGGCAACTGAAGCAGAGAGCAGGGAAATGGAGAGTTACACCTTTCCACTGGCACTGCCTCCCTCTGCCCACATCAGCTCAGTAATGCTGGTGATGTTCCTTTGCCTCCTGAAGCCCAGAGGCTTGTGTTCTCTCATGCCAGGGTCTGGGCCTGTGACCTTGGGGCTGGGGTGCTGGCAGGGTGCAGTGGGGGGTCACCAGCTCTGTCTGTGCTCACCAGGAGCAGTCCCTGCTGCAGCCCCCCACCCTGCAGCTGCTCAACGGGATGGGCCCCCTGGGGCGCCGGGCGTCGGACGGTGGAGCCAACATCCAGTTAAATGCACAGCAGCTGCTGAAACGTCCTCGAGGTCCCTCTCCTCTTGTCACCATGACACCAGTGAGTAGCCAAAGGGAAGCAGGGGGCTGGTGGCATGCTTATAAATATCTTCTCCTGCAGTCAGAGGTGGCTGCCTCCAGGTCATAGCAGATGGTCGTAGGCTCAGTCAGGAGCGCTTTGGGAGCCCTGCAGGGAGCCTGCCCACTTGCTCCCAAAGGTTCCTCTGCTCTGGAGCTGTGGTGTGCTCTGTCCCCTCATGGGGAAGTTGCTATGCTCTCCTGAGGCTACAGCTGCAGTGGGTTTTCTCTGGAGCTGACAAGAGTGTTTGTGAACTTATTTAACAGTGGCTTTTTTCTCCTTTGCTGAGATAATAGAGAAGACTAAAATGTCCATCTTGGACACTTGATGTATGTTCTTTCGTCCTTGTGATTATCAGTGATTATTCCCTGGTAGCACCAGAAGCAGCAGCAACCTTCTACAGGCAGTTTTGATTGGGGAAGGAGTGTTGGAGGGAGCTCTTAGCCAAGTGTCCTTGGTCCTGCAGATGAGCTTGCATCTTTGTGAAAGCTGCTTGGGGAAGATCAGGAGTCCACTGTGTGGATGGGACCATGCCAGCTGCTTTCTGGAGCTCATGGCTTTTTTTTTCTCCATAGGCTGTCCCAGCTGTCACCCCAGTGGATGAGGAGAGCTCTGATGGGGAGCCAGACCAGGAAGCTGTGCAGAGGTAACTCCCAGTCTGTTAACGTTTGCCCCTAGTACCTACATGAGGCTCCACAGCTGAACTAAAACACCAGCAACCTCATCACAGGCAACAATATTGATTACAGCGAAGGTTCAACATTGTTCTTGTTTTTGTGGGTGTTGATCACTATAGGCAATTACTCCTCTGACACTAATAGGTGCCTGCAAAGCTGGAGTCCCCCTGAAATGGTTAGCTAATTGAGCAGCAGGTTCTCCAGAAACTCTGAAACTGCTAAATTTCTTCGCTTAGTGTGCACCAGCATGCCATCCACACTAACCTGCAAACTGAGTGATTCACCCTTCCCTGCTGAGTGATGGAGGGAGATCTCATCTGTGGCCTTGGGTGTCAGTGCAGCTTTTGTATCAAGACATGCAGTAAACATGCAACTCTGATGCCTTAAAGTGAGCTTGCTGGAAATACAGGCACCTCTAGCTTCTAATTTTAGCAGTAGGCCTTAAAAGTCTGCTACAATAAGGAAAGGATTTAGATATCAGGCTGGAAAATTCTATACTCTTTGTCTGCTCCAAACATGTACCAGGAAGCGGGTAGAATGTGCTTGTACTTAGTCCATGAAAACACTAACCATGTCCTTGCTAACATTTTTGTAGTAGCTTTTGCCTAGTCTCTGCTGTGCTAACCAGCTGGTGCACTGTGTGGTGGGGATGGTTACAGAGCTACTTCTTACCTCAAACTTTCAAAGTTTTCTGTATTCCTCCCAGTTTGTACAGGTCACTCCCTCCAGTAAGGCAGGGTTTCCTCAGGACCATCCTCAGAAGAAGGATTCACAGTGGGGTTGGCTGCAGGCAGGGAGGCACTGGGGTGGGTGGAGGTCATTCTCCAGAGCCTTCCCCAGCTCTTCTTCCAGTGCTCCAGAGCAAAGGGGGGATTTGACCAGTGGGTGTGTGCAGTGGCACATTGTGCAGAGTGTGCTCAGACTCCTTTGCCTACCAGCTTAGACGAGCTGGTACACATGACAGAACTCGCTTCCAGCCCTACCTTAGAGCTGACACGGAGCACATCTTGTGTTCTCCTTAAATTCCTTACCACCCTTATCTTGGTGCTCACTCTCACAGTATTTTCCAGCCTCACAAGCTGCTGTTTGTGCCCTGAGCCACAGCCCTGGGAAGTTCCATGCTTGTGGGCTGCTCCAGCTGCAAGGCAGCACAAGAGAAGTGAGACAAGTTGTAGTGCTGAGCAGAGGGGAGAGCGTATCCCCCCAGGCCTCACAGCCTGTGTTCAGCCCCTGGGAGGCTGCTGCACCCTGCCTGGGTGCTGGTCTCCCTCGCAGGGCTCAGGACCAGCTGGGCTGCCAAGGTGCAACTAAAAGTTGTAACTTAGGGCCCATGGTGTCCACTGAAAACACTTCAGGTGGCAGAGTGTCTTTCTGACTGTGTGAATCAGATACATCTGATTCTTGGCAAGGGATTGTCTGGACATCTTACCTGGGCAGATTTTGACTTCTAAAACCTAAGGTTTCATTTGAGTCTTTAAAATAAAGCATTAGCTCAACCAGAGAGCTTTTGAAACCCCTGTGCAGAATTTTGTAGGTCGCAAACCACTGGAACATTCAGATCCCATCAAAAGGCAAGTCTCCTTGGACCCACAGGTCACTTGCTGCTCTTGACAGTGCTGCCCTTAGTCCTTTCATCATACATGTTGTTATTCCACCAAGTGGCCCAGAAAAAGCCCTGCTTGGGTTATGTGTTAATTTGCTGTCCACTCCCATATGTTGCAACATGCCAACAGTCATCAGAGGAGAAGGGTAAATAGCATTAACACCAGGGACAGATGCAAATATTTAGCTTCTCAGAACAGTGCTCTGAACACTGTGTGCAGCCATCAGTGAGCAGTTTTTGCTCCCCTTACTCTGACCTTGAAAAGAGAGCATAGTCTTTGCTGTGCTCCAGGGAACAGTCACATCTCCTTTGAGCTTTGGGAAACTTTCTTCCACCCGAAATGCTGTTATAGCTCATGATTTGATTGTTCCCTGGAGGTCTGAAATAAAATGATCTTAGCAAACCACAACTGTAAAGCTCTTTGGGAAACTTTCCCTGTCTGCATCAAATGATTCTTAATCAGCTAATGGCACAGACTTTGGCAAGTTACCACAAGGCAAGTGCTCTTCATTCTGTTAACTTGCTGTCTTCTGCTTAAGTGGCTTCAGTAGCTGGCAAAGAGTAGCTGGGCTTGGAGGAGGCAACTACTTGCTTGCTTGCTGCTCTTCTCTGCTTCACCAGCTGAAGCTGCAGGGGGAGCCTTAGCAGGGGAGAAGCACAAGGGTGAGAATTCCCCGTTAGTGTCCCTGGTGTTGCTGGCCAAGTGATCTTTGTCCCAGTTACCCCAGCTGCCTCGTTGCTGCTGGTTCACGAGAGTGGAGTTAGTCGAGTTCACAAGTGGGCATTCGACCCTCCTGGCCTTGGGGGGATCAAACACTGCCCCCAAGCTCATAATGGGTCAGGGCATCTGGGGTAGAAGCTTCAGGTGTTCTCTCTTCTGGCCGTGCCCCAGCTGCTCCCAGCTCTGCTGTGGCCAGGGTGGTCCTGCCAGGGCTGCGGGGCCCTCGGTCACATCCTCGCTGGGACTCTGGGTTTTGTCCTGTGCTCTCCCAGGGCCTCAGAGGGGTTGCAGAGGGTGCTTTAGCTGAATCTGCTGCCCCCAGGCTCTGCTGTAAGAGGCAAGCTCAGCCTTCCTGCTGCTGGCTCTGGCTCTGCAGGAGGTTTTCCTGCCCTGCGCATCCCCGGGTGATTTCCCATTCCCAGGGAGTGGAGCAGGGACTAGATGGCGCAGTCGTGCCGGGCTGGGCACGGCCCCGCTCAGCCCATCGCCCTGCCCTGAGCTCCTCGGGCAGCTGCAGGCTCTACCCACCCTTCATCCCTGCTGGGGTGGCCCTGGTGCACCCTCCCCCTGCTGGGACCAGCTGCTTGCCCCAACCCCGGGGCCTCCCAGGATAGGTCTGAAGTGCAAAGGGCATCCTGAGCAGCAGCTCTGCTCCGTGCCTGCTCTCTGGCCAGCTCTTGCTAGGGTTATCTGTGGCTTCTTGGCTCCACACTGCATCAGAGCTCCCCGTGGCTCAGCAGGGCCTTGGGAGAAAGAGGCAGACATGCTGCAGTGGAGTGAATCCACTTTGAGGGCAGTTAGTCACCTGGGTATTCCCAAAGGGATATACCAGCATTCCCCTTCAGGTGCAACGGGGCTTTCCTGCTGGGAAGAGCAAATGGCTGCTCTCTCCTTCTGAGGCTGGCAGTAGGACACAAGCAGCTGAAGCTGCATTTGTCCCCTAAGCACTGAAGACCCAGGGATGTGATGGGCATGGGCAGCATGGCCATGGTGTGCTTCTCCCCAGCTGCTCCTGCAGCAGGCATTCTTCTTTCCCGTTTCCTCCGGATTATCTAACACTCCCTGTTTTTGGAGTACTCCCATCAGTCTCTTATAAAATGTGCTCCTGCTTGTTGCAGATACTTGGCAAATAGGTCAAAAAGGCACACTCTGGCAATGACCAACCCTACAGCTGAAATCCCTCCAGACTTGCAGAGGCAGCTAGGACAGCAGTCCTTCCGACCCCGGGCTTGGGCTCCACACCTGGTCCCCGATCAGCACCGGTGAGTAATGGCACCGGCCGTTCGGGCAGCTCTGCGCCAGGACACCTGCTCAGATGTCATCTGGAATGGAGCACCGAGGACATCCCGCTTGGCAGGGAGGGGTGAGGAGGAGGAACAAGTACAAAGAGCAGACCCAGAGAGCAGAGGGTGTCCAGCTACACTGGGGACACTGGAGTTCTGCTCCGTGCCTGCAGGTACAGGCACAACGGGGGCAGGAATCAGCTGGCTCTTCCTCTCCAGTCCTGTTTTTGTGGCTGGAGATGATTTGCTGGAATGGCTGCCCTCACAGAAGGGTTGGGAATCAGCTTCTTGTTTCAGAGGAAAGCTTTTCTCTGTTGTAACAGTAGCTGTCAAGCTAGCAGCAGATAGCAGATTTTCTACAGAACATTTTTGGAGGCAGATGCAGGCAAAAGACTATACCAAGAGTCAGCTACACCAGAGCCTTAAAAACCTCACTGTTCTGCACCAGAGTTGTGTGTTTCGACTGCAAGGTCTCTTTGCAAAGCTTCTCAAGAGTCATTGCATTTCTGATCTGAACCCCTGATGGGAATGCTGTGGGGAAAGGAAACTGGGATGGGAAGAAAATCAATGTCTGGAAAGGAGGAAACCGATGCAGATTGGATCTTCAACACTTGGAATGTGTGGGTGGGGCACTCCTGATGAGGAGACGTGTTGATTTGATATGAAGTCCTTGGCACAGCAGCAAACTGGAGACACTAATGCCACAGAGGGAGCTTAAAAACCTGTGCTCTGGACCTCTGAGGGCACATACCAGCTGCACACTGCGGAGTTTGCTGCCTGTTGGTCTGGACTGGTGAGAAGGCAGTCGCCTGCCAGGCTAGGCTGAGGCTTGTGCTCAATCTCTCAGCCAGCTCACACTGGCAAGCTCCACAAAGTGCTTTTTATTGTAGCCAATAACCTGCTGAGCTGAGCACTGATGTAATCAGCAGAGACAGGTGAACTCTGAGCAGACTGAGACAGGGCTAGTGCCACGCTGGAACTGTGGAAAGCCGAGATAAGCACCTCTCTGCCCTGGAGTTCCTCCCTTGCAGAGGTGCTCTGGGGGTGGGGAGAGCAGGAGGGGAAAGGTTTCTAGGGTCACAGCAAAGCTTGATAGGAAGAGGAGCTGACAAAACAACCAGAATGTGCTGTGTCCTGCATTAAGGATTGCTTCAAGTTGTACAGGTAAGCTGGGTCACTCACACACTGCGGGGATTGATTTTTTACAAGTTTGGTAAAACACACTTGTCCTGTAAATATGTTGGCGTCACCCCTGCCTCTTGTCATTGGAGTCCTGAGGATGTTCTGTTGCATCATGAACAGGGTGGTATCTGCTCATCCCACCCTCAGTGACATCAAGCACTGAGCCTGCCTCATTTTACCTGCAAAATCAGGGGAACTTCATCTGACCATGGCCTAAATACATTGCCCTATGTTGTTCCAAGACAAACATGGCACCAAAACCATTAGCACTCTTGTGTCATCATGTAAACAGACTTCAGTTATTGAGTGGCAGGGGAGTTTTGTTTTAGCACTTCACTTTTTTTTTTTAAGCCATCTTCTAGTGTATCACCTGGTTTTGGTCATGAGAACTTAGGATCTAAAGGCAGAACTGAAAACAATTGTACAAGGCAGTACAGTTGTTCTGTCCTGGCTGTGTGAGTTTGGCAACCTCAGCATAATTGTATCTGTAGGTTCTGCTTTTCTTCAACACAACAGGAGATCCAATAGATCAGGACAGTGGATGGGATGGCATCAGAAAGCAGAGGTGCAGCTCTGTCCTTGGGAGACAGTTGTGTGTAATCTATAGTAACTGCAGTATGTCCTTCTAAGGCAGAGCAAGTGACAAGGGCTGAACACAGCATGCTGGAAATGGTCCAGCATCAGTCACCCTTTGATAAGGGGGAGTCTCTCCAGGACAAACAGTTTCAGTTGGTGGAACAGGCTTCAGGGAAGAGCTGTGTGCAGAGTAGCCACAGCAGTAGTGCCTGGAGTGATGTTGTTCAGGACCACACAAGCGTGCAGCCAGGTGGGCACCTCTTGCCTTTAGTACCAGGATGTCAGAGATGCTGTAAAGACCACGTCTCCATGACCTTCTCACAGACAAAGGCTGTGTTTGTATGGTTTGCTGGGGTTTATAGATTGAAATTGCACAGAAACCATTAGAGCAGGCAGAGGAACCTGATTCTGTTTGTTGTTAGGTTCATTGTGATGTGTATGGAAAGCTGGCCTTGCTAATTATAACCCAGGTTGCACCTAATGGCAGGGCAGGAGCTTAGTGCTTGATTTTGATAATGGGGAGCCCCAACTTTGGGAGAAAACAGCTCCTGAACAAAAATCTGGCTCCCTCTGATGGTGAAGAAGGAACTTCATTGTGAAGGGAAAGTGCTTGTAGTGCCTTGGGCAGTTGCCCTGTCTGCTTTTCAGATCTCCCTGTTCTGATTGCCCAGTCCCAGGCACCCAGGGGCCTCTGTGGCTGAAGTGGTGGCTCAGTTAGTGCACTAGAAAGATTTCCCCAACTCTGTAGTTATGTTCCTGCCCTCTCTTTTAATTCAGTGCATCTCTAAGCATGGATGCCAGCCCCTCTTTCTCCTCAGAGGCTGAAGAACACTTCAGGCTGCTTCCATGTGCCCTTCTATTATCCAGAGGTACTGGGGTAGGCAGGGGCTCTGGGAAGCTGGCCGGCTCAGGAAGTGGCTACCAAAGAGGTTAATGTTAGGATTTTAGCATTCTGAATGGTTTCTGTGAACATCTTCCATATAAGGGACAGAAGCAGCTGTATGGAGGGACAATGAGTTGCTGTCCATCTGGAACCTGGTTTGTGGCTGAATTGTCTCCAACCTTAAACACTGCCCAGGCACTGAAGTTACTTGGTAATCCTGCTTCCTGCTCGTGGTGACGATGGCACTTTATTTCTTGATCTAAAACATGGTTTATTCTGGGTGAGTGGGCAGTTAGAACTTGGCACAGCTGGTGTAAATTAAAAGTCTCTGTACTGGAGTTTATTTTTTAGCTGGCATCACTAACCCACTTCCCCATGTGTTCAGTTCTATTTACAAGGACTCAAATACTCTGCACCTCCCCACTGAGCGCTTCTCCCCGGTTCGGCGCTTCTCTGATGGTGCTGCCAGCATCCAGGCTTTCAAAGCCCACCTGGAGAAGATGGGCAATAACAGTAGCATCAAACAGCTCCAGCAGGTAAGAGAGGAGTCCTCCAAAGAGCTCCTGCAAGGGCTTCTGTGCCTCAGACATGAGGAGGAAATTCTTCACAATGAGGGTGTTGAGAGCCTGGCCCAGGTTGCCCAGGGAAGCTGTGGCTGCCCCATCCCTGGCAGTGTTGAAAGGCAGGTTGGATGGGGCTTGGAGCAACCTGGTCTGGTGGGAGGTGTCCCTGCCCATGCAGGGGGGTTGGAACTAGATGATCTTTAAGGTCCCTTTCAACACAAAACATTCCATGATTCTATGAAGTTCTTGCTAGAGCTCTGTGCTTGTGTGTGAACAGGAGCAATGGTGCCAGCTCAGTGTCACGTGCACCCGTTCCCACTGTCTGAGGCCTGAGCTGGCCATGTTACCACACCCCCCATTCTGTCAAGTTACATGGCTTTCTTTACTGGCCTTTTCAGAGGGGGAGGCTGCAGGGAATGCCTTTTTGCATAGGAAGTGTGTTGTGCATGAAGAGCTCACTGAGAGAGTGTGTTGGATTCATTTCAGGAGTGTGAGCAGCTCCAGAAGATGTACGGTGGGCACATGGATGAGAGGACACTGGAGAAGACACAGCAGCAGCACATGTTGTACCAGCAGGAGCAGCACCACCAGATTCTTCATCAGCAAATTCAGGTACTGAATCTGAAGCCTGAGCCAGACCTCCTAAAGCCTGAGCTGTGTGCTCCTGAACTGCTGCAGACACAACTGCTGAGCAGGCCCTGCTGGGACTGAGGAGGGCAGACTTCTTGGCTTGCTGTCATGAGAAGCAAGCCCAAAGGACTTCAGTGAGGCTTTCACAGCTGCTGTGGTAGCCAAGGCTGCAGTCAGGGGTTGGGTGTTTGGTTAATCTGGGTATGTCCTATTTCACAGATCAGTGTTTTCTACATGTATTAGTTGAGACATTATCGATGACAAACACTTCTTGTTTTGTTCTGGTGCCTGGGTCAGGACTGTATCCGGCCACCCCAGCCATCTCCACCCTTGCAAGCTCCATGTGAAAACCAGCCAGCTCTCCTCACTCACCAGCTTCAGAGGTAAAGAAATTGCTTTAGTAAAGCTCTGGAGAATGGGTTTTACTCTTACTCAAGGCCAGAGATGAGCTAACACACTTAGGAGAGTCCAGGGCCGAGTTGGAAGTGTACACAGTTAAAATGGCAGAGACAGTTCCCAGGGGAATGTGCCTGGTCCTTTTTAGCTGGTTTCTGTCTGAAGGACTTTCAAAACCAGAGAAACAGGATTCAAAGGCACAAATCTGCTTTGAACAGATGTTTGACAGTTCTGCCTTTTGACCAGCTTGAAAATGTTTTACCTTCAGCAGCCAGTTTCTCTCATGCTTTCTACAGAGAGCTGCTGCTGGACGTCTTGCAGCTTTCCAGGCTTTTGATGGTGACTGTCCTTGGCTTCAGCACCTGGCCTTGTAGATGAGGCAGTTGGGCTGCAGGCACAGAGAAAGGGTTATGCTCACTCCCTGAGTGGCTTAGGGATGTCAGGTGGCTCTCAGAAGAGATGCTAAGCACAAAGAGCTCAGGGTCCCAAACAAGGGCTTTATAGTGATTTATTTAAAACATGAGAATCGCGGCGTTTGGCGTCAGCTCTCACAGTTGAAAAGGTGTCTTAACGAGGAGCAGGCATGATGAAAAGGCACGGTGCTTGTTTCCCTGTGTAGGTTACGGATTCAGCCTTCCAGCCCACCCCCAAACCACCCCAACAACCATCTCTTCAGGCAGCCCAACAGCAGCCCCCCTCCTGTGAGCAGCAGTGTGCTCCAGCCCCACGGTAAGTGCTGGCTGAGCAGTCTGTGCCCCTCAGGGCTGGACACTGGACAAACCTCTGGGAAAACAGCGTGGGAGGGTGTGAGGGGCTTCATTCCCCCCTGCAGCCCTGTCCTTGCAGTTTGCTGATGGTGTAAAAAATTCTCCATCTGGCTGCAAGGGCTGGTGTTACTGAGAGCTTGTGAGGAGCTGCCAGCTGGAATGAGCTGTTTGGTTTCTTGTCATAAGATCCTTACTTATCACTCCCGGGGGTGGGGAGGAAGGGCTGATACTCTCAGGGTTTATGCAAATCACTGTCAACTCCACTTTGTTTCTCTTTCTGCACAAAGGGCTCTAGCTGTGACCTTTGCACGTTGGTGCAGGGTGATGGAGCGGCCGGGAGCAAAGCTCCTTGTCACCCACTGACACTTCCTGGGACTCCCAGTGTGGCCCAGAAGAGCAGCAGCTCTTGCTCATGAGCCTTGCCACAGGCTGGTGCTGAGGGTCTTTGTTCCTTGTAGGTGCTGCCTCCCAGTCCCAGTTCCAAGGGATGCCATCCCACAACACAATCTTCCCGCAGTCTGGTAACTGTTCCCCTCCCCCAGCCATGGGGCTGACGTGCCTGGCCCTGCAGCAGCAGTCACAGCCTCAGCAGGTCACTATCCAAGTGCAGGAACCTGGTGACATGGTCAGCAACAACCTCCTGCAAGGGCCCTCTGTGGCCGGGCAGGGCATGTCCTCCCACACACGGGGCATGTCCATCAGCCCCAGCCCCAACCAGCTCCAGATGCAGCACCGTGCTAACCTGATGGCCTCGCTCACCTACGGCCACCGGCAGCTCTCCAAGCAGCTCAGCGCCGACAGCGCCGAGTCGCACAGGTAAGGCTGCTGCTGCCTGGCTCCCCCGAGCTGGGAGAGGGGAGGAAGAGCTGGGGGCACTTGGCTCAGCCTGAGACATGAGTTCCTCACCAGCCCAGGACTGCTCTGGTTTTGAGGAGTGAGCTGTCTCCCTGCCCCTGGGCAGCAGCAAGATGGGGCTCTGGGAGACTGTGGGGCTGCTGTACATGGGCTGGCATGGGCAGCTCTGCTTGCCTTGGAGCAGCTCTGCCTGCCTCCTGCCCAGGGAGGGTAGCCTGACATGCTGAGCCAGAGCTGCTGCAGCACAGTCACCTCTGCTTTCTGTTCTCTGCAGTCTGAACATGAACAGGTATCCCCCCACCAACTACGACCAGGTGCACTTACACCCCCACCTGTTCCCGGAGCAGCCCCGCGTTTCCCCCAGCAACTACAGCCCTTCGGGAGGAGTCGCGTTTCCTCCAGCTCAGCAAGCTCTGAAGGTCCCGCAGCTTGACCAGTATCCCAGTTTCCCTCAAAATGCACATCAGCAGCAGCAGCACTACACTGCATCGGCACTACAGCAAGCACTGTTGTCCCCAACGCCTCCCGACTACAGCCGACACCAGCAGGTACCGCACATCCTCCAGGGACTGCTTTCCCCCCGGCACTCGCTGACGGGGCACACGGACGTGCGGCTGCCCCCGGCTGAATTTGCACAGGTCATCAAACGGCGGCAGCAGCAGCAAGAGTTTCAAGAGTTGTTCAGGCATATGAGTCAAGGGGATGCTGGCAACATGGGCACCAGCGTGGGACAGAACCTCTCGGAGCGCCAGTCGCTGTCTTTGCCTTACCAGAGTGCCGACACCTACCACCCACAGAGCAGCCCCCAGCACCTCCTAAAGATCAGGGCGCAAGAATGTATCCAGCAGGTACCCGCCTCGGTGCCGCCCCACGGATACGTACACCAGCCAGCCCTGTTCCATTCGGAGAGCATGGAGGAGGACTGTGCCTGCGAGGCTGCCAGGGACAGCTTTCCAGACAGTAAGAGTTCAAACACGTTGACCAAAGGTTGCCACGAGAGCCCCCTGCTTGTAAACGCAGGAGGGCACGGGGACCCGGATTCTGCGCTAGGAACTGCTAATCACGCCCAGGGGCTGGGGACACATCCCTACAGGCATCAGCCCGCTGCTGGATTCAGTAGGAATAAGGTGCCCAGCAGAGGTAAGGCTTCCTGCTGCGTGCGTAGGTGACAGGTTTTTTCCATGCTGCCCACTTGCCTGCCTGCCCCAGGGCACCCTTTACCCAGCATGGCCAGGGTTTCGTGACATGCCTTGTATAGCACAGAGTTACCCAAGTTGTTCTTGGCTTTTGTGGCCTTCAGTAAATTGCAGGAACAGTCTCTCTAATAATAAACAATGTTAAATAAGGAGGGAACCTGACTGGCTGCTTCTCTTTGGAGTTTGACCTACTTCTGCAGGCAGGTAAAGACCAGGGCCCAGAGCACCACCATCTTCTCAGGGATGCTGTGTGCTGCCAACATACCTGTTCTTGTTGGAGATATTCTCTATCCTGTGTGAACAAGGAGCTGAGGACAGTGGAGTTTCTAGTGTACTCCAACTGCAGCAGGGTGTTCCTTCCCTTAAGAACAAACCGTTGAGTCCTGGCGTTGCTAAAGCTTCCATAAACATGGCAGTAAGAGCAGTGGGAAATGTCTTGCCTCTGGTGCTTTGGGAAGCAGCAGAAAGACTGTGGCCCTGCTGGAACTGGAAGGGTTTTTTTCTGGAGAAAGGGAGTTTAAACTTGCCCTTAGCCTCTGAAGACCTTTCCTGCTAGTTGGATTCAGTTGTTCCTTTGCTCCTTGGTGGCTGTGTTGGCAGTGGTGTGCTGTAAGAGAAATTCCTGCCTGAGCTGTAATTGCAGGCCTTCTCTGCATGAAAAACACTGTCCTGGCTCTGTCCTGAGGCCTTTGAAGAGAGGCTGAGCTGGGTGGATCAGTATTCCCTGCAGGACCAAGCTGTGCTGGTCTGAAGCCACCAACTTGCCCTTGGCACAGAGGCCCCTATTGCAGAGGAGCAGTGTCCAGGACACAGGAGGCACAGCTTTGTTTGGGAACACAGCACGGGTTTGTTGGAAAAGTTCTGGGTTGGAACAGGCTGGCTGGGAGGGCAGAGAGGGGTGCCAGGCCCTGGCTGCCCAGAGCGTGGGCAGGGGTAGGGACAAGGCTCAGCTTTCCTGAAGTTTTCTTGAATTTTTGGGTAACTGATGTTTGCTCCTGGACCTCAATTTCCCTGCAGTGCTTGAAACATGGAAGGAGAGAACTGTCCCAAGTTAAGTTGAGGTTGGGATGCTCCTGAGGGGCATTTTGTACCAAGTCATGAGTTAATGTTGTTGTACCACAGACCGTTAGATGAACAACAAGATTTCAGGAAGGCAGAAGCCAAGTTTCTGCCCCCCTGCTGATGGTGCTAGAGCCAGTTACACAAGGGGAAAGGACTTTAGACTAGAAGACTTTAAATGAGCAGAAGCAGGTAAATGTTTACAAATAGCATTGTGTAAGCCCTTCTGACAGGCTGTTTGGAGGGCTGGTTGTAGTGAGCTGTGTCCTGAGATGCAACTGCTAGCACTGCTTTCCTCCTGACTCCAATAACCCACTTGGAATCAGGCCTGTGCCACTTGCCTGCATGTAAATCCTCCCAAAACTCAGTGCACATCTCACTAGAGTCCTGGTATTTTGCTCCCTCACATGTAGCACAGCTCCAGCGTTCCCAAGCATGCTGTGCACAGGCCCACAAGGTTCCTCAGCCACATCCCTGGGTTTTCCCAAGGTTTTTCCTAAACTGTGTTACACGGTCACAGCTTGTCTTGAGATGGGAATAGCTTCTGCCCCAGCTCGTGACTGTTTTCCCTCAAGCAGGGCATAACTTGGTAGTGGCTTGGGAGCATTCATGCCTTCCAAGGGAGTAGGTTCATTCTGGTTTGTCTGGTGAGCATCTGCTGGTGATGGCAGCTGGAGAGTGTGAGAGCATCCATCAGATCCATGACTGAGCCACCTTTTAATGGCATTGCTCCGGTTTTGCTCCAGCCTGGCCATCCCAGGGCTGGGAATGCTGCCCATGGGAAACCTGCACTGAAGGAGCAGAGCTGGCGATGGTGGCCCTGCCGCTGTGCCAGTGTCACATGCCACCCTGACACAAAGGCCACCTGGCACAGCAGCTCCGTCCCCTATGGATGTGGGGATGAAAGGTTTTCTGCTGCTGGGGCAGGGATGGGGTGAGGAAAGGAGCAGGAATTCAGGCCGAGCTGCAACCCCAGAGGCGCCGTGGTGGCAGTGGGAAGCATGGGGTTGGTTTTGGGCCAGGGCTATTCAAGGTCAGGGGGAATCATCCCCCTGTGCCCTGGTCCCCAGCAGTGGGGGCTCATTGTGCTGCCCATGGGAAACCTGCACTGAAGGAGCAGAGCTGGCGATGGTGGCCCTGCCGCTGTGCCAGTGTCACATGCCACCCTGACACAAAGGCCACCTGGCACAGCAGCTCCGTCCCCTATGGATGTGGGGATGAAAGGTTTTCTGCTGCTGGGGCAGGGATGGGGTGAGGAAAGGAGCAGGAATTCAGGCCGAGCTGCAACCCCAGAGGCGCCGTGGTGGCAGTGGGAAGCATGGGGTTGGTTTTGGGCCAGGGCTATTCAAGGTCAGGGGGAATCATCCCCCTGGGCCCTAGTCACCTGCAGTGGGGGCTCATTGTGGGAGCCCTGGGGCTGTTTGTGGAGCTGGAGAAGCTGGTCCCAGCAGCCATTCCAACAGCTGGAGCAGTGTCCTGAGCGGTGCGTGGGTGGCACAGCTCCGCCAACATCTGTTACCTCATGTTTTCCTTCTCGCTTTTCCGGGAAGGTCTTTAACCGCACGTAACCCCAGGGTTGTGCAAAGGAAGGGGGAGGCTGGCTGCAACTCCAGCTGCCCCAGGAGGGGGTTCCTGCAGGGCTGCCCTGTCTTGGAGGGGGGGAGGGCATGTA